TCCAGATGACGTAACCACGAGTTTCGTTTATGCATGTTAATTAGGCTGGAACAGTCCATTCTTAATACAAACAGTGGCAGTGAAAAAGATGTAGAAGTAATTGCTATATCCCTTTAAAATAAAAACTAAACCTGGTGTAAAAGTTAGAATTATTTCAAGGAGGAGAGATGATGCAGAAAAAGGGTTACAATAGGTCATATTTTCAACAAATGCCCCCCACATCATCATCTCCGACCTGAAATGAAAACTGAACACCAGTATTTTTATAAAATTCAAAACTAGAATGAATAAATATAAATGTAACAATACACAATTCCATTCAATTCAAAAATTTTAGGAACGATGTGCACATCATATCCCATTTTTCAAATTTCTACCATAATACAAAAGTTCATCATGTTATGAAACAATACAAAGACATGTATGATCATACATTCAATACATTTACCCAGGTCCCTGGTCAGTCACACAACATTCATTCTATAAATTTTACATTATCACAATATTCATCATAATATAACTTACAACATATTTTTTTTTCAATGGTACAGTCCAAAAGGGTCAAAAAATGGAAACATATAAACAAAACTCTTAATTTAAAGTTAAATACACACAAAAAGAAATTTCATAAGAAAATTGCTCCACAAAATCTTATCAAGTTATGTTTAGTCAGCGATTTTGTCATGGGATCAGCCAGATTATCTTTGCTTGGAACATATTTTAGATCAAAAATTTTCCTCTTCAGTAGATCACGAATGAAGAATAACTTTACATCTATATGTTTCGTCCTTGAGTTTTCAATTGGTGATTTTGTAAAACTTATAGCAGCCATGTTATTCGCAAACAATATAGGTTTCGAAACATAGTTATTTGCAATCGTAAACTGAATGCATTCATCCAAAATGTTTTTAAACCAAACCAGTTCTTTTGCTGATTCAGTCATGGAAGTAAATTCAGCCTCCATAGTAGACAAACTCACTCCCCTTTCTTTAAAAGTATGCCAAGATACAGGTGATTCTCCCAAAAAAGCTATTTGTCCGCCAATAGTCACCATATTGTCCCTGCTTGAAGCAAAATCTGAATATATATTGAGCTTCAGTTCCTTGCATACCAGTTTAAGTTTGTAGTGTCTGCTATTTGAAATGTATCCTAAAAGTTTAAGTAATCCTTCCCAGTAAATTTACCAGGAGTGCTTTGAAACTGAGAAAATATATTAACAGCATAGGCCATGTCCGGACGAGTGCGATTGCAAAGAAACGAGAGGCATCCTAAAACATTTCTGTAAGGATAATTTATCATCTCAGTCGTTTCTTCATGTGTACAGGGACTTTGAGTATTTCACACCTTTAACTATTGGGAGGGAGGTAATTTGTATTTTAAAAGACTTTAACCGATTAACTATGTCTTCTATATATAATTGCTGATGAATGAGGACACTATTATTCTCATATTCAAATTCACACCCAAGAGCTTTCTTGTTTTACCCAAAATTTTCAAATCAAAATGTGAACTCGGAACTTTTAATATCTTTTTTAGCCTGAACTTCACTTTTTCCGAACACAACAATGTCATCAACATAAACCAACAGAATGACAAAATCTTTAAATCGATAGACACAATTACACCAATCAAACTTGGTAAACCCTAGGTTACATAGTGTTCTATCTAACTCATAGTACCATAATTGCCCACTCTGATGCAGACCATACAAGGCCCTATCTAAACGACACACAAAAGTTTCTGTATCTCGCTCTACAAAACCCTGAGGTTCGGACGTGTAAATTTCCTCCAATAAAGGAGCATAGAAATAGGCACTTTTTACGTCGCACTGTATGTTTGGCCATCCAAGCTGTGCAACTAGGAGAGAGAAAAAGAGCAGTATTGCTGAAAAGTTGACTACAGGAGAGAAGGTTTTATCATAAGTATCGTATTTAATTTGCCAATAACCCTGAGCCACCAAACAAGCTTTAAAACGAACAATGTTTCCAAATTCGTCACATTTAATGTTGAAGATCCACCTGCAACCTAGTGGAGTCTTATCTTTAGGAAGTGGAACAAGATGCCATACCTTATGTTTTCACATGTTGGCCATTTCCTCTTCCATCGCCTCTATCCATTTATCTTTTCTGTGGATTTCATTGCTTGGTTATAAGTGTTCGGAATTGAAACCTCTAGTCAGCTGTCTTGGGTATATGACGTTGAAGGAGTGCCGGTTGGGTCGATTTCACCACTATAAGTATTGCTTCCCTTGAAATCAAACAGAGTAGGATTATATTGAATATTATTCTCATTATAATACTTTTCCTCATCATTTGGTGATCATAGTGTTTGATTAGACTCCTTCCCAAAATAGTACACATCCGTACGAGTGCCGTCTGGCCTTGGAACAGGTTAACAAGTTAAGCCAAGTTACCTGTGTCAATATAGATTGAGTGTCAGTGCTAGGTATAGAAGAGAGTACACTGGTATCAATTCTTTCTTCTGTTTCAGGGGAGTAGCCAACTGGAGTATCAATAGATTAGAACTCGACCCTCTCTTCAGATTCCAAATCAGGAAAGGTGCCTAGTGCAGCTCTACTGCAACTTCTCTGCATTCCAACTGACTCTTTAAAAGTAGTGTTTAGAGTTTCTACTACTTTTTGTTCATTTTCCAACCAAATTTTGTACCCTTTTGTTCTTACACTGTATCCAATCAATCGGCCCTTCGTTGCCTTTGGATCAAGCTTAGAGTTTCTTTTAGCTTTTGGAATTCCCACATATGCAACCGTTCCAAATGCCTTAAGGTGACGCACTGATGGTTTTCGCTTAGTATACAATTCAAATAGGGTTCTATCTTGACCTTTATGACAAATTCTGTTAAATGAATATGCAAAATATATTACTGCATCTGACCAAAATTCAGGACTCATACCACTATCATGTAAAATTGCACGTACATTGTTGAGAGCCAAAAAATTGACAACACAACATGAACCAAAAATTGTGGATCATGAACAAGAGGGATAGACAATTTATTCAGACTGTTGACAAGCATACAAAACAGTAAAACTGGAAAAAGCAGAGTATGCTTACTTAACTGTGAATTATAAACTTCATTTTGTAGACCCAAAAATGGCTGTTCATACATAAAATCTTGAAAGACTGTATATCCATGATAGGTGGTGAAATAAAAAGCAAGAAGGTGCAACATATTATCATTTTATCTCCTATCTTGCAGAATTCATGTACCAAAAGTCTTTGGAAAAATATAATGCTTTTGATGTCATATTGAAAGCAAAAGTGAAAATATTGTAGCTTCGAACTGTATGTGAAAAGTAAACACATACTTGATGATAATCTTGATATTGTTAAGATGGGAGCCATAAAGATAAGGAAGTACCAATTTTTATTAATGAGAGTTAAGATCTCTTTTGTGTTATAGCGTTACATTATAGACCTTTCCCTAAGTTCTGGTAAAAACAAACGCTGAAATTTATTCTGTTCTTCCTGAAACATGACAAACAGTTGAAAAGTAACATGTTTAATGTTTAATACCAGAAGCATAGCTAGGGTTTTCAGTGCCCGGGGACAACTGAGATTCTTCGCCCCTTTCTATGTACCAAGAATGTAAAAAATTTCATAATATCAATTTGGTACCGCTTGGATGCTGCACCTGGGGTCAGCTGTCCCTCCTTGCCCCACCCTAGCTATGCCACTGTTTAATACATAACTAACATCCCAGCTTAGCTGAAAAAAAAAAAATGTTCATTTGTGTTGAGATTGAAAGCTATGGGTCAGGAAATTAAGTATTTCCCCTTGCATTGGTTTTCATACACTGAGAGTTGAAGATGTTGCTTTGCAAATTAATAGGTGTTTTGTGCTGAAATAAAACTGAGCATATTCAAACTCTTGACAAACTGAAACACGTATTATTGTGCAAAATACTCCCCCCTTTTTTTTTGCCATGTGAAGAGGTCAAATCTGGTTTTGAAAAACAGACCAAAAATCATATTTCTTATATCATGAATCATTGGTAAGTTTCCAGCCTTGACCTGGTTGTCTGCTTACATCCACAGTATTTTTAAACTGTTTCCAGATTTTGGGCTACTTTTACAGCCTTATATTGATGTTTGTTCTGTTTTCATCCTCTCAGTTGCACTTCATTTCTCATAATCTGTCAGATGCCTTTTCCACAACACATTCCACTTTCCATATGTGAGACTTAATTTACGTGCTGGTATAATCCTTGAAATTAAAATTTCAAGTACTCTCTGTACTCCTTTCCACATGTGCTGAAAGAAAGGCAGAAATATATTTTTCTGTTGCTTCCATTGGAATTCCATTGGATGATATGATAATGTTGTCCTTGAACTACCAAACAATTACCTTTTATTGGACTTCACACTAACATAAAGTACCTTGTGTAGTTGTTCCTTTAATTTTTCCTTACAATGCATTTTTATAATGTTAATGCATTTATACTTTGCTTTTGCTTTATAGTGCTGGGCTGTTAATGCAATTGCTTTATCCATACATTATCTTTAAAACTGAACTTAGGATTTGTGTTTGCATAATGTAAGTCAAACTAGTAAGTTTTGTTTCATTGAGCACATTAAAACTCAAAAATGAATTCAACATAGCTGGAAGATTATAATGAGAAGTAAAAAATAGTTAAATAATATCTCCATTTTGTTCATTTTAGTTTCTTTTTTATGTGACTCTTGCTTTGTTCGTGTTTAAATTCTTCATATCATACTTTTTATTGACCTCTTGGATAATCTTTGTCCCTACCAGTAATGTCCTTCCACTTTGTATAACCCATGCCGAAGAAGTTGAAAAAATTATTGTACTTTTAATAAATTAGTATAGATGAGTTTAAAACCAATTGTTATAGAGATGGAAATTTAAATGTGTTGTAATCATCATTATGAATGACACGTGTTTTTCTTGCTTTAATTAATCTATAATAGTTGTGACATTGAGAATTATTTTATGTAACAATACTCTGTTTCTGTTCTTCAGCCGATGTATATATCATTCCAAACCAAGCACAAAACTTGCCTCAAAGCCATGCTGTTGGTAGCCCAAAAAATACTTCTCCATCAGAGCTTTTATCACCTCAGAGTAAGGAGGTATGTATCTTTCAATAAAAAATGGTTTCACTGGAAATGGCATATGATTTTATTCATTGTATATTGCAGCCCTATATCATTTAAATTTTTTCTAAATATGTTTATATTGTGTATACCATAAAGAAATTATTTTAATTTGATTATTAAATATTATTAAATTATTTAATTATTAACTCTTACCAATGTCTGCTGTTATTTTACATAAAAAAATTACATCCATTCTACCAGACTGTTTTGATGGTGCAAGTCCAATTTTCATTTCAGTTAGTGATTAATTAAAATTAAGCAGGGATATGGTAGGAAAGGGAATTTTGAATTTAATACCAAAAAAATTTTTTGCTACCTATATTGTTCCTATTTTATTTACCTATTATTGTTTCTATCATTGGCTGTGCATGTAAACCTTTCATGTTACTTTCTTGGCACACATTCACTATGGACTGTCTAAAGTAAAACAATATGAGTTTGCTCATTAAATATCGTATTTACTCACACTTTCCCCCTAGCTTTTTAGCATAAGATTCTGAAATTTCTAATCATATATTTGCCTTTCTCAAAGCATTCAGAAAGTTAGCTTCCCTAAATTTTAAAATATGTTTGTCCACATAGTGGTTGTTTTCATCTTACTTATTGAGTTGCTTGTAATTTTCGGGTGCATGGGTTCTGATTGATAAGACAATTATAATGAAGAGCTTCCAGTAAACAGGAATATCTTATGCTCTGTATGTTTCCGAAAATCATTCCACTAGGTAAAAAATACTGACAAAGACAATGGTATTGCTGTTGAAGGGCTATGACTTGCAAGCTATAGCAAGTGACACAGACAGAAGTTCCAACAGTGCTGAATGCATTGAGGTGTAGGAAGTAGAACTAGTAACAATAAGAGGAGATGAGATTCGAGTACTGAGATGTATAAATGAAGATATCTTATTAGATATTATATTCATATTCCAATATAGGTTTCTTTTAAACAGGTAATATTGTGATAGTTAATGGCAGTTTATAAACACATTTTAGTTGTTATGTTATTAATTTAACCACATCCTTTGGAAATTAAATTATTAGCAAAATTTTCCCCTCTTGATTTTCATATGATAAAGTTAGTAAAAAGAGGGCAGAATATGTGAGTAAATATGATAATTAAGCAAAAAGTTTTGAAATCGTATATTATTTATAGAATTGTTTATTTTTTTAATATTTCCTTTCCTTTAGTGGACAAAGTTTAATGATTCTCCAACTAGTTCCCTGTCATCTCCTGGAATGAAACCTGTAAATTTTGACTTTTCTGCTGCATCTGTTGAGCAAGTAATATATAATTTATTTATGTTTATGCACAATTTTATTTAGAAACCTTAATGAAAATTTTAATTTAATATCCTGATAGCATTATGCAATATTTGAATGAGCAAGGCTTTTTCTTTAATTGGATTTAAAATTATGAACAAATATTTGCATAGTGAAAGATAGTTCTTGTTTTACTTGAGTTTGAAACAACTTCCAAAAGAAAAGAAAAATTAGAATTTTTGTAGATTAAAATTACTGTACTTAAAAACCTGTTTATAAAAACTCAAATTATTAATAAAATAGTATTAGTACTAAAAATGTGTCAAGAACTGTATTGTAATATTAATAAAATTAATGTAAACATAATAAATGTAAACTTGAGTTACATTGTTCAAATGTCTCATGTTGTAATATCTTGTGTAATGCAGTTTTTGTACATGGCTTATATTTATTTTTTAAAAAATGATTCAAATTATATTGATGATGAAATATTTTAACGTAATAGGTAGATAAGAATCACATCAATTTGAATTTTAAAATTTTAGCTTTATTATTTTTATAGAAAATTTTCATGCACTTCAAAGAATACTGACATAATCCGTTTTCATTAAAGAGCAAAAATGTGCAACACACTTTTTTTTTTTTCTGTGTGTGTGTGTGTGTATGTCACTTAAGTAAATGAAATTAAATTAAATAATAATGAGAGAGAAAGTGATAATTATTCACTGTTTGTTGAATGGAGGAATTGTTGCTTCCTCTCTTACATCATCTGCAGAATTTAAAGGATTGAATATATTCATGAGTTGATTTTTTTAATGCCTTGGATTAGATTTTTTAAAGCCCATTTTTATGAGTGTAAAAATATTTATTTAGGGAAGACATTTTGTAGATAATTTTATTAGCACCAAAACTGACATAACTAATTGGTTAAGAGACTGAAGTAATTCAACAGAATAGACTGGAACACTTTAATGTAATATTTTTGTGAGAAAAAAATTATGAAATATTTTTAAAAATGAGCTTATTAGCAGCTAATTCTGTAATAGATGATACTTATTAAAAAATTAGTTACTTAAATGTTAACTTTATTTAATAGGATCCAAAAATTCTTCATCCAGTAGCCCTTCGATTATCTCCCGAGCGTCAAGCTGCATATAGTGAGAAAGAACAAACAAGTAAGATGTTATTAAATTTTTTTATCTTATAGAATTTTGACAAAAGTATTAATTCAAATGTTAAGGCATTTTACTAGATGGTACATTTTACTCTGCAGTTAATCTTTATTATCAGTTTTTATCTGTGCATAGTAAACATATACTTCAATCATATATTAATAATAGTAAATTTTATTCTGACTTGTTATTTTGTACCTGCCGATACCTTGAGAAAAATTTTTTGGCATATTTTGGCTGATGAAATCTGATTTTTTTTTTTTTTTTTTTTTTTTTTTTTTTTTTTTTTAATTGGGGTTGGGGCATATTGTTTGGCAAACCCTTTCAAAATGTTGATCAAACACTGTTATTCTCTGCAACTTGTCTCTGTCTTCGTATATTTATAGAAAAGTATAAAACAGCTCATAGGGTTACCAAATGCTCACAAGAATCAAAATCATGGATGGTATTTTTGGCAGTGTATAAGTGGGTCTCAGGATAGTCAGCAGATAATTTAATTATGTTAGTTTTTTTCCTTTTCAATTATTAATCTCTCTCTCTCTCTCTCTTTTTTTTTTTTTTTTCCCCCAAAAGCTTGTGAAGATACTTTAAAATCAGATCAGGTTTCCTCTACAGTAACACAGGTGCCTGCTCCTAGAAAATCCCTTGGTATGGTATAACTGTATATGTGCCTATTTTTTGCAGATATTTATGCCAAATTTTGTTATAAGACTGCAAATTGATAATTTTGTGCTATTGTAGGTCCTTCACTTAGTAATGCTTTACCATCCCAAACTTCAGAATCTAGTATCGATGTAATTAGTGGCCGTGTTCAATCCAGGTATGTATTTTTTAATGCTTTAGTTTTAACACTTGAAGAAAATAGATTGTCTGTATGGATAGTCGTGTAAATATATAAGAAAACTGCATTTTAGTATACACCCCCCTTTTTTTTTTTAATGAATTATCTTCTAGAGAAATTATGAAGAACTGCAATTCGCTGCACATTTAAAGAAGCACATTTTTACATACATTCTTTAAAAAAAGTATGGTTTTTTCCCCTTCCTTCCCCTCCATTCCTTGAGAATGTGTAAAATTTGTTACAATCACATATATGGTACACAAGAATGCTGATTCATTTTCTTTAAGCAGCAGCAGTAGCAGTAACTATATTGAACTGTGAACTTATAATAGTGAAAAAATAAGTTTTTGTTTGAAATCAATTTAAATTTAAGTACAGCTTTTGATCTTTCTGGCTCTGAGGAGCCTAATTTTTTCTCCAGCAACCCCCACTCCTTCAAATTTGCTTCCATATGCATTGAAGCAATTATAGCTATTTCAAGTTTTTGCTGAATAAAGTCCTCCAGGCATACAATAGAATTGAGGTACGAAACCTTTGATGGCATTTCTAAGATTTGAAATGTTGTAATTTTTTTTAATTGAGCTTTATGGGCCATTGGCATTTTAATAAAAAATTCTTTTATCATAAACTAAAGCCCATTTGTTCCATCAAGATGAGCAAGGATAATGATTTCTTTTCTAACATATTTTTATAACACTTTTGTGCATATTAATTTTTACCGGTTACGCATTCCTGAATAATAATATTTTCACCTATATTTCATAGTGGAATTTATGCACTGATCTTATACTTTTGAGTTGTACTTTGTCTAATATATTGCCTTTTTTTATTATTATCATTTTCTTCATATTCTCAGAAATGCTAGTCACTTTCAGAGAGAGGGGATTGCTGCAAGAGATTTGCTGATAATATAGACTGTTTGCTTCATAAAAAAATATAAGAACCTTGAGGAAAATTTTCATATCTATTTTTCTTTTTGTAACTGTTTAATGATATATTAAATTAATAGACAAACTGTCAGTAAGGAAATGGTATACAGAAGATTAAATTGTTCATGTATGAAATCCCATAACCTATTTACTGAAGAAGAAATATATTTCACTTTAAGTTTTTTATTAGCTTGTTTCTTCTTAATTAAGCTAATAAAATTGATTTGGAAAAGTCTGTTAACAACAGATAAATTGAAATTACTTATGATGGTATCTGGAAAACGATTTTTATTAAAAATCTGCAAATACTTTTAACAAATTTATCACGTTTTTTAATATGTATACTTTATACATAAAAGTATCTAATATGCATTATGGTACCATTATGCACCGAACAAGTATTAATTTAGAAGTCAAATAACAAAAATCAGCATTATTTTTTCAAATTTGAAAATATAATGCTGATTTTTAGTGTTTGACTTCTAAATTAGTATCTAATATGTATGTTAAAATTTGATTACCTGTAAGAAGCTATAACAAGCTATGTGTTTCTTTATTTATTCCTTTTTGTCTGTAATCAGTCCGTGAAATGCATACTATCTGGTTATTTGGGCCAACAAAATTCCTGATTTCTGAAGAAAGGAAAATCATATTGGTACTAAAAAGGTATTATTAACCATGAACGGAAAGCAGCACTGTTTTAATAATCCAAACCTAATATACATAAAAATGTTTATAAGATTATGTATACTAACAATTATAAATATTATTTTTCTTAGAATTGTTGTACTAGATATCTTACAACATTTAAGTCTTACAGTCTGTAGAGCACCTTCTTTCCTTTTCTGTTAATTTTGAATCATAAGAAATTCTCATAACAACTGATGAATTGGATCATGAAGCAAAGGATGTGACTTCAAGATAAAATTATCCCTTATCATTAAACCTCATTGACAAACTTCAATCTCGTAGCAATTTCTTTCACAAAAGTGACCCTATTGAAGTATGGATTTCTGGAGTCTTTTCTGCTGAACTGTTGATGGCTTAGTTGTGTCAAAAATTCTTTTTCTTCTCTCTTTTTAAATGAAATTAACTTTTTTTTTTTTTTTTTTTTTTTTGGTGTGTGTGTGTATGTGTGTGTGTGAGCAGGTTCATGACATACGTAGCGTATTCGGAAACTAAGAACCGTTTCATTCTAGCGCTGTGGTAGGCGTCCCGCGCATGCGCACTAGTCTTTCTTGTTCACTGACTTTCAATTGTCGCCATTTTGCTTGCTCTATGTTGTGTTTTCAGTTTGCTGTGCACATTCAAAATGTTTAAGACAATTAATTAGTTCTCCCGCTGACTGTGAGATTCGTGCCGTGATTCAATTTTTGAACGCGAGGAATGTTAAAAAAAAACCGGCCGAATTTATCGTCAAGTGACAGAAGTTACGGTGAATACGCGATAAGTGATGGAATGGTGAGAAAGTGGGTAAGAATTTAATGCAGGTCGAACAAATGTCCACGCCGAGGCTCGGAGTGGTCGGCCATCGGTTTGTCACCGATGATTTGGTAAGGAAAGTTGATGAAAGCAATTCATGAGAACAGAAGCTTCACAATGACAACTCTTCAGAGGCATTTCCACAATTTTCACGTACTGTTTTGTTCGAAATTGTGTCTGACCGCTTGAATTATCGCAAACTGTGTTTCCCGATGGGTTTCCAAAAATGCTCACTGATGTTCACAAAAAACAAAGCGACTTGGTAGTGCCCTGACATCTCTCACGCGGTACAGTGATGAGGGAGAAAACTTTTTAAACCAAATTGTGACAGGTGATGAAACTTGGGTGTGTCATTTCACACCAGAATCGAAACAACAATCGATGGAGTGGAGACACACTCATTTTCTGAAAAAACAAAAGTTCAAAGTGACAATGTCATCACAAAAAATCATGTGCACTGTCTTCTGGGATAGGAAAGGCATTTTGCTTACTGAATTTCTTCCCAGAGGTGAAACTATTAATGCTTCTTGTGAGACTTTAACAAAACTAAGGCTTGCCATTCAAAACAAACTAAGAGGAATGCTCAGTAAAGGAATTGTGTTGCTCCATGACAAGGCTCGACCCCATACAGCTGGTGTCTCTCAATCGTTAATTCGACAGTTTCATTGGGAACAAGTTCGATCACCCGCCGTACAGCCCGGACTTGGCGCCGTCCGACTATCACTTGTTCCTGCACATGAAGCGCAAGCTTGGTGGCAAGCGCTTTGGATCTGACGATGACACGAAAAATGCTGTGGAGTCCATGGTTATCGAAACTGGTGGGAAGTTTCTTTGGCGATGATATACAAAAACTGGTCACCCGCTATGACAATTGTTTGATCATTGTCGGAAACTATGTTGAAAAATAGTTTAAGACATGTATTTTCATGTAAAAACGGTACTTAGTTTCCGAATACGCCTCGTATAATTATGTCTTAATTTAAAATCTGCTTTGCAGAAAAAATATGTTGAAAGTAGAAGGAATAAACATTCTACGAAAATAATAAAAATGTTTTTTATGATGCATGTGCAAATGAGAAAAAGGTAAAAGCTGTAATTTAATACTGCAAGGCACAGTGGCTGGCAAGCATTTTAAGTATATTATTTCAAGATTCCCATTGGAGATTTTTTTGCCATTTTTGGTTGCTTCATTTTTTCATTTTCTATGTGTCATGATGTCTTCTGCGACATGCTGAGTTTTCTATATTTGAATTATACAATGGACCTTATTGAATACTCAAATTAATTGGAATTCAGAGTACTCAAAATATTTGTCTACATTTTAAAAGTTTTTTTTTTTTTTTTTTTTTTTTAAAGTTTTTAATGTAATGTGTGCTGAGTTCATGTATATTCCAGGGACTGCTTAAGTTTGTGTATATTTTGAAAATATTTTCTGCAGTTTGCGGAGAGGTTTATTTATAGACCCATTATAAAAATGGATTACCAAAAATGGTGGGTTTTTTTTTTTTTTTTTTTTTTTTTGGTGTGTGTGTGTGTGTGCGCGCGCGCTTTGCTTTCTAGTTTGAAGCCATTGAATTTTAACCATTACACTTTAAAATATCAATAAGTCAAATTGTTCTTTTGCTGCTTTATTATTAAAAAAAAAGTCTGCATATTTTAGCTTAACACTTTTGCTTATCTCTGCATTACATTATTCTGATTTTAAACTTCGGTTTTTCTTTTTTGTTTATTGCTTGTGCATTGCTCACTCAGGGAACAGAGGAGAAGGTAAGTTGCATCCTTTGAAATATATAAGGTATGAAAATGTTTTAACCGAATACCTGATTGGAATACTTTTCATTACAGCAATTTTTTAAAATTTGCCTTATAATGGTACCTATTAAAAGCCCTTTTCTTAGAGAATTTTTTTTTTTTTTTTTTTTTTTTTTTTTTTTTTTTTTTTTTTTTTTTTTTTTTTTTTTTTAGTTTCATTATCCAGAGAGAAATAATTCATAACTCAAATGAGAACTAAATTTACTGATAATAATTTATAGTTATCTTTGTGAATTTTACATTTTCTCCTCTTTATTTGCTGAGAAGTGAATTGTACACTGTATATTCAAAACAATTTAAATGTAGTCTCTCAATGTTGTACATAACATAATTATCATTGCTAGCTTTTTTCATGCATTTTTTAATTGAATCTGTCTTAAATTTAGTTCAAGCATAATACTGTACTTTTGTAGATATTTGTATTTTTTTATAATTTGGTTTTTATGTATTTTTGTATTCTTATATTCTTATATACATTGAAGAGCCAAAA